ATAATCCTCCTCAGGGAAGACCACATTAACTGGTCATTCAATATCAGAGTCAGCTCTGAAAGCATGCATACATTTACATTACACAGACTGAGCAGGGTATATTTATGTATTTAACACATAAACACCAATTAATGAAAAAAAAAAGAGTCCCTGAATTTGAAAGAGGGCATCGAGAGGTATATAGGAAGGCTTGGAGGAAGGAAAGGGAAGGGAGAAATGATTTTAATTCCAAAAAGTAAATAAATATTAAAATTAAAGGACTGTTAATAATACCTTTGGTAAGGGCAACTTGCTTAAACCAGACAGTTAGAACATTTGATCTCATCTTGCACCATCTTCATTCTGCCATTTGGGGTGCTTATCATAAATTATGCTAATGATTTCTATATTTAAAGAAAATACTTACAAAAATCCTAAGATACAGAATGATGTAAAAATGCCAAGTACTAACATTCTAGTTGTAGATGAACAGTCTTGTTAAATAAGAAACACAGAGCCAATGCAGAGATGAAAGCCCAAGAGGTCAGAGCTAAAAACCTTACCCTTCACTGCTGCTGTTGTCCTCCTCAGCTAGAGCTACTTCCTGTCTGTCTTTTTTATACTTTCTATTCTGCCTTCTCATTGGTTGTAAACCCAACCACATGACCTCCTCGTCACTGCCTGTCTGTACAGACCTCCAGGTCTTCTATGGTTGGTATTGAGATTAAAGGCGTGTGTCTCCATGCTGGCTGTATCCTTGAACACACAGAGATCCACCTAGCTCTGCCTCCCAAGAGCTGGGATTAAAGGAGCGCACCACCACTGCCCAGCTTTTGCGATGGCTTGCTATTAGCTCTGACCCCCAGGCAACTTTATTAACATAAAATTAAATCACATTTCAGTACAATTAAAATATCACCATATCTAGTTTCCTGGGGCTGGAGAGATGGCTCAGTGGTTTAGAGCACTGGCTGTTCTTCTAGGAACCCGGATTAATTTCCAGCACCTACATGATGGCTCATAACTGTTACCACTCCCAGGAGATCTGACAGTCTCTTCTAGCCTCTGTGGGCATCAAGCATATACATGGTGCACAGACATACATACAGGCAAAACACCCACGCACATAAAAATAAAAAATAAAGTTCTAGTTTTGCTGTTCTTCTGTGATGAGCATGGATGCCAATAAACAATCACGTGGTTTCTAAGACAAGGTCAAAGAAAACAAGTTATTAGAATACCAGGCCCCAGAAAGTGCCATGCAGCTCTTGGCTAAATTCAGTTTCATCTTCATTTCAGATAGATTACATGTCTGGGCCAAACCCAGGGAATATAACTAATTGCCTCTGAGTTCTAAAGCCTTCTACAGACCTATGTAGGCTAGGAATTTCATGCACAGCATCAAAACCCTACCCAACAGCAAGCTGGCCAATAAATTGGTAGATAGGATCTTTAATTTTCACTCACAAAGTCCAAACTAGAACTGATATAGCTATTCAAAGATGTTATCTTTCTAAGCCATTGGGACTTTACCCCTCATGGTCACAATATTATTGCTGTATCTCCTGGCATGGAATCTGCTAAGTCAAAGTTTCTCTTTTTAAACTTTTTTCCTTTCCTCCTAGGAACACCTTCTCAAGACTTCTGACCTAAATCTCACTGAATCAAAAATCATGCATGTGGTCACCTCTGACTGCAAAGGATTATTTTGTTTACTGACTTCTATACAGAATAATTTGAATGAGATGGCTAGTTAGAAATGTGTGTTGTCTACTACAGAGAGACACAGGAACAGAACACCAGCAAGTGGGAACTGCTTGAACATAATTATGAGCTGCTTCAACAGCATGGCATTGTTTGGGGCCAGTGGCATTATTTAACAGTGGCAGAAAACAATGTGGCAGGACCAAAAGACTGAGGCATGAGCAATCTGGGGTGTGGGTCAGTCTAGCACATGGGAGTGGAAAAAAGGGAAAGGTTCTATCGAATAAGATCAATGTTAGGATATGGAATTCAATGCAACAGAGGCCTGAGCTCACACTGGATGTCCCCACCCACTAGCTACCTTTTTGTATGGAGAAACACAGGCTGTGCCTGCATCTGCTTCAATACAAAACTCCTCTACTGACACCCAAATGTGTCGTGATGTCACCTCTACTTCTTCATAAAACAGTGCTGGGTATACCTAACTGAGTTCCACTTTCCCTGGTGCTGGACCTATTCTGTGACAGAACCACACAATCTCAGAGCCCATCCAGTGCCACCAACTTCTGATCTCAGGATCAGGCTTAATCTCAGCACTTAGAGGCTGAATAGGGAGAATTTTGATTGTGAAGACAGCCTGGGCTTCCACATGAAACCCTGTCTTGGCTGTGGTGTGTTTATGTGTTGCATTATATGCACATGGAACAGCATTATTGAGCTATAAAAGGAAATGAAGTATTGATACATGCTATGACAGAAACAAATGGCAAACCAGGCGGGGGTGGTACACACCTTTGATCCCAGCACTGGGAGGCAGAGGCAGGCGGATCTTCATGAGTTCAAGGCCAACCTGGTCTACAGAGCAGACTCCAAGGATACACAGAAAAATCCTGTCTTGAGGGAAACAAACAAAAAACAAACAAACAAGAAAAGAAAGAAAAGAAAAGCAACAAACAGCAAAACCACCACACTTAGCTCAGTGGTACAGCATTTGCACGACAAGCTCAAGGCTCTAGGCGTGGTCACCAGGAACACAAACAAGAAAACATTAAGTCAAAGAGTCAAACACAAAAACACAACTGTCTAGTTTTCAAACTCATGGTGACTTGTGAATGTATACACTTAAATGCCATTATAATTATTTCTTGCTTTAGAAATATTTTTATTTTTAAAACCCTTTTTAAAATCATGAATCTCCATTGTTCAGGAGCCTTTGTCTCTACCCAGTTCTGCCCCTTGTGTGCCTTTCAATCTTTATTCATCAGTAACTTTCCACTACTCACGATGGGCAGAGGCGTGGATGGGAAATGCAGAATCAACAGTGATCTTGTTACCTGTGAACATCTCTGGTATAAAGGGAACAAATACTTAAATACAGATGTGGGGAAACAAATCATTAAAATGGGATTATGGTTAGTAGGGGTTTAGATTCATCTATCAACGTGGATTTTCATTGTGGTTTAGCAAGGATTAAAAAAAAAAAAAAAAAAAACTACCCACTGGACTACATGCATCTTGACAACTCCCGTGTCAACGTTTATTCCGTTGGAACCTCCAGCTTACCCCTGCAAGATGTGGAAAGCCCCATTCCTGTCTCTCTCCAAACCCCACCCACTCAGGGTCTCCAAACAAAGGAAAGGCACCAGAAAGTCCAGTTCTGAATTCCTGGTAGCTACTGCAGCTCTCTCCCCTAAAGTTGCCAGCTGCCCCAGCCCCTTCTCTCCACTCCCCGCAACCCCCGCCAAGTGCTCAGCTTTTGACCTTGCTAGGGTACAAACCCAGCTTGTGGTGGACACATCATCACTCCTAGCCTACAACCTATGAAGTCTCCCTGCTTTTGCTCGTGGGCGTGGCTTCTCCAGCCTCCATCTAGGGATCTAGAGAACCCTCTCGGGAGTTGCTTTGCCCAGATAACCTGTTCTTATACTTTTCAATTCGTCTTAATCTGGCTTACTACATCAGCAGAGAAATCTATTATGGGGTGGGGTGGAGGAAGGGATCAGAAAACCTAAAATCGTTAACGCAAGGTACCCAGAACTGGCTATGTGCGTCTGCGTGCTAATTTTCCAGGACTCTGTAACCAAGTGCTATAATGTTGGAGGCTTAATTACAACAGCTACATATTTTCTCCCGGTTCTGGAGGTTAGAAGTCTGCAACTGCAGTGCTCACAGAGCATGATCCCTCAGAGGCTCAGGGAGAAGTCCTGTCCCTGTTCCAGCTTCTGTGGTGCCAGGCAGTCCTTAGTTTCCTCATGGCAGGAGAGCCTCTGTCTCCTCCTGCTTGTGGCCTCATTCACTGGGTCCTGCCTTTACATCTTCTTATGAAGATGCCATCAGAGATTTAGTGCCCCTCCTGTGTTGGAATGGTTTCTGCTCAACAATCTTTAACTAACTTTACCTTCAGACTATTTACAAGTAAGGTGACAAATGACATTCTAAGTAGACATGAGTTTGAGATAAATGGGATACTTCATCTCACTGTAGCATGTAAGCCACATAATTTCTTTACTCAGTTAATAATAAAAACTGTCAAATTCAAACTTAGCTTCACAAATTTATAGTAATTTTTCCTCAGAGGTGTGGGGGGGGATGGGAGCAGAAACTTTATTTAAAAAATGAAATCAAACAACAAAATCAAACTGAGTTCTCCCCTTTTATCTATGAGCTAAAATTGAAGTAAATAAAGGAGAAAACTACCTTTTGATAGAATCATTAAGTCAGTGATATATTATTTATAATTTATTAATATTAAAAACATTGGTAGCCAGGCGTTGGTAGGACATACCTTTAATCCCAGCACTTGGGGGGCAGAGGCAGGTGGATCTCTGTGAGTTCGAGGGCAGGCTGATCTACATACAGAGTGAGCTCCAGGACAACCAGGACTACACAGAGAAACCTTGTCTCAAAACCACAAAACAATATAAAAAAACAAAACCCCAGAAAACACTGGTGTCACACTATGACAACAATTCAACAATCCCGGTCCTAGAACTCAGGACCCTGCACTTCGTTTTTTCACTAAGACAAACTTGAAAAGAGATTCCAGGCGTGGAGAGATGGCTCAGCTCTCGAGGACCAGGTTCAACTGCCAATTACATGGGCTCACAACCTTCACTAACTCTAGTCCCAGGGGATTTGATGCCCTCTTCTGGCCTCTGAGGGAACCAGGCATGCATGTGGTACACAGACAGTAATTTTTAAAAGAGAGAAGGATCCCTAAGGCCATCTTTGCCCATTTTGCAACGTTGGGGGTAAAACTTAAAGCCTTCCACATGTGAAGAACAAACTCTACCAATGAGTTACATCCCTAGACCAGATTATTTTTCAAAATGTGGATGAAACTTTATTACCATCTTCAGTGTACAGTACAATCATCAGTCAGATATCAAGTACTTGAAATAGCATGATGGAAAAACATCTTTAAATGCTAAGTAAAAAGATAATGTGTAGGTAATTTTGTAAACAAATTACCAAATAAAAAGAGCGTTGGCTGACTGTTCATTTTTCAAATATATTCCACTTTAACACTCACGGGATGTCTTATAAATTCTATTTTTAAGGATCTTTCTAATATATCAAGATTTATATGAAAAATGAAATGTAAATTTTTGTTAGAAAACATTAAATATGAACCCAATGTAGAAATGTGAAGGTAGATTATTCCTTTGGCAGAAAATAAATAACTACAAACATCTTAAAATAAGTACAGTTCATAGGATCGTGGGAAGAAAAAAATATACCTTTACATTTCATATTAATACTGAAACCAGATCAATACAGATTTAATTTCATTTTATGCTATCAATAATTCTGCTACACAAATTTATGAATGGAAAAAATAAAATTATTTTGAGGAAGAAACTTCTGCATATATTAAACTTCACAGACACCAATATATACTATTTATATACAGATCATGTTGCAAGTCTTATTATTCCAAAACATCTGAGCTCTACTGGCTGGTCCCCATTCAGTGAGTACACAGTATTTACACTGATTGAAAAGCTTCCACTGAATAAAGCTTTTATGATTTAGACAAGAACTAAACATGAAATGCACAAATATTAAGATGAGCTTATTACACAGTTCAGAAGAGAAAGGTAAGATGTGTCCATGTGTGCAAACACTTTCAAGGGCAGCTCTGGAGTCTTTTACAGTTATTTCCTTAATTTTTTTTTTTTTTTTTTTTGGTTTTTCGAGACAGGGTTTCTCTGTGTAGCTTTGCGCCTTTCCTGGAACTCACTTGGTAGTCCAGGCTGGCCTCGAACTCACAGAGATCCGCCTGGCTCTGCCTCCCGAGTGCTGGGATTAAAGGCGTGCGCCACCACCGCCCGGCTATTTCCTTAATTTTTAAAGAACAGATTTTTCCAGAAAAGTCAGGTGCCGTGTTGCAGTACATTCTTGTACGTACATAAGTAAATTCACCTGAAAGGAAATGCTACAGAGAAAAGCTGAAACTCTTTCCAGTCTCTTGTACTGAACCAGACCCTACCAGAACACAGGCTTGCAGGGACCGACTGTTCTCTTCAGTGTTGGCCATTTTATGCAGTAGCATATTCTAGAATAAAGTTTCTTTGAAAAAAGAACATAATTGTTATCAAATATTTATAAATAGATGAATGACAAAATTTCCAAATTGTCTTCCAATGGAGTTTTAATAGAAAGATTAAGTGCTTAAAAAATATATAGAAGTTCATTCATGCAAGATTTAACTTTTAAAAAAGATTAAGCTTGGAACATTTTCGAGTCTAAATATCATGTATCTGAAGTATGTGCATCTATGTTTTCTAGTTTGTTGTTATGTAAAAATTTGGTACAATAGGTAGTTTGCAAAGTTTTATCAGGTTATCACCAGCTCCCTCCCACAGTATGTGGGATCTTGCACTATTAACCAATTTCAAACCGGACTTCAGAAAGACAGCGTGGAGCTCTCCTGTTCCTTTCTACTAAACCACTGCCTGCCGTTCCTGCAAAGGCTCACAGTTACTGCTGAGGAAATGCACACTTCTTTCAAGAGCTTGGCATGATGACAGCTTACCATGGAATGTCAATCACTTCTGTAAGAAGATAACACGCCCACCTCACACTTCACAGCCATGACACTTTCTATCCCATCAGATTATGAAGAAAGTCTCCTGGCTCAAGTTCACTGATAATCCCTAAGAAGGAAGTGCAGGACTTGGCAGGAAGGAAAGCCAAAGGACAGCACCTTCAGGAGACATCCAAGTCACCTGAAAAGGTCAGCAGTGGCAACGCTAAACACCAGGGACAGAATGCCTTCCTCAGGGAAGGCTACCATTGTTTGGGGCACTCCTGGGCCCACCACCGCCACAGGACACATGGCTTTCACTGTTACTAACAGAAAACACTGTGTTCCTTCCACATGCTCTTGCTTCTGTGGACAATCATATGCTAATTACTCACCACAACACTGCGAGCAAACCGACAGGACTGCACACACAGCTGTGATTAAGGAGCCCAAAGGAAATGCATGGCAAGCTAAAGGCCTACACTAAAAGACGTTTGTCTTTTAAAATAGTAGAGTGGGGGAAAGTCGGGGGGAAAAAATGCAGACAAAAATGTTTAAAAGTCCTTAGTGCTCCTCAAATCACATCTTGGAGGAAACTGCTTTCCTTACAGAAAATGTCTCACACTCCTATCTTATACATTGTAGTGTTATAAGGCTACTCACTGAGAGCCCAGAAAGTTCAACAAAACTAACCCGAAACATCTTTAAGCTGCCTCTGATCAAAAGATGAGCTTCGAGCGAACTGGACTGAAAAAAAAAACCCTTTTATGGCCTTCAGGGTAAGGTAGGGGTTTGTGCTTTATTATTCATGGTTCTTTTTGACTGAGAGGGGAAAGTGAGCATTTCAGATCAGAATCCCCTGGGTCGAGTGACACACCTAGAAGACTTCCAACAGCCCTGGTGTGTCTCTAAAGGAGAGGCTGCTGGTGGTAACTTGTGGGCGGCAGTGCGGCTGGAGGTGCAGGAACTGCCCCTGGAAAGCCAGGCAGCTGTGGCAAACCGGAGGCTGTGCTCTGGTAAGAGGACACGTCTGCAGACATCCCCACAGGCTGTGTGTAAGCAGCTGGACCAGCAGCTGACGGAAGATGAGGGCTCTGGTTCATGTAAGAAGGGCTGGAAACAGTGTCCTGTCCAGTGCTGCAAAAGACAGTTTACAAAGAAAATCACATTTATGTTAAGTTACGGCAACATATCATGACAAACACGCTTTTCCATCTTCTTTTCAAGTTCATGTAGTTATCAGATACTGTTAACGTAAATTTGTTTGGTTGGTTGGTTCTATTTTGAGACAGGGTTTCTCTGTGTAGCAGTCCTGGCTGTCCTAGAACTTGCTCTGTAGACCAGACTGGTCTTGGACTCACAGAAATCCACCTGCCTCTGCCTCTCCAGTGCTGGGATTAAAAGGCCTATGACACCACCACCTGGCGTGATTTTTTTAATGTTTATTCAGAAGAGCAGGACTGGAGAGCTGCCTCAGGGTGTAGAGACAATGTTCCTTGTGAAAGCATGAGGATCTGAATCTGGAGCCTCAGCTAACCCTGGCACAGGGAGACTGAGACAAGCTTCCTTGCTTGATCAGGCTAGCCAAAACAGAGTGTTCCAGATTCAGTAAGACTGCATTAAGAAAAGAAAAACAAACAAACAAACAAACAAAAAAAAACACCTAGGTGGATGTGCTAGAGAGATGGCTCATCAGTTAAGAGCGCTGGTTGCTCTTCCAGAAGACCCAGTTTAATTCCCAGCACCCACATGGCAGTTTACAACCATCTGTAACTCAAGTCCCTGGATATCTGATGTCCTGCTTTGGCCTTGGAAAGCCTCAGGCACACAAATGGTGCACAGACACACATGCAGACAAAACAACCACACACACACAATCTTAAACACACAAACACAAATGGTGGAGATGACATTGAAGAAGACATCCTGACTTCTGGCCTCTACACATTGCCCACTTGGGCAGCACACCAGCAAGGTAAATGTACCCACATACACACACCTACACCACACACAAAAAGAAACAAAAGAAAGGAGAGGGAAGTGGTGGCAGGCCCTCGATCAGGTGACAAAAGTGACAAGAGAAATTCCTGAGACAGCCCAAGTAGACGGGTGAGGAGGGTTAGGCGTTCAAACAGACACAGTGGAGAAACTCAGTGAAGACAAAGGCGGCCCAGCTACGAGTGAAGTAAGGAACTGGACAAAGAGCAGCTTTCCCTCACCCGAAAAGACAGTGAGCACTGATGTATTCATTATTTGTATTTTTGAAGGGCAGGGTCTCACGATGAAGCCTTGCCTAGCCTGGACCTCACTATGTAGACCAGGCAGGCCTTGCACTCACAGAGATCTCCTTGCCTCTACATTTGAAGTACTGAGACTTAAATTTTTTATTTAAACCTCAAGGTTCCATGCAACAATTACAATGAAGTCTTGTTATCTTGGAGTCTCCTGTACATTACAGTAAAATTTAAAAAATAAAGAAAAACAGAAAAAAAAAAAAGAGTGCTCAAAAAGAAACAAAATGTAAGATTCTAAGGCTAACTTCACCCCCTTCAACCTCTCACTCAAAGTATTGAAAGTACTGAAGATGCAAGCGTGGCTAGCATCAGAGAGCAGAGGCCTGCTCAAGGCGACCCTGGGCCCCAAACCCTAAGCTTTGCTTTGACAAGAACGCAGCACTTTCAGAGAGACAACAGTATACCTTGCACAACAGTGTATCATGCACAAAAGGGCACTTGCACAACAGTGTACCATACAAAATGGTGTACCCTGCACAACCACGTACCCTGCACAACCGTGTACCCTGCATAAAGTATACCCCCCCCCCCCCCCCCCCCCGCACAATGGTGCATCATGCACAAAAGAGCACTTCCCCAACAGTATACCCTGCATAACAGTACAGCCTGCACAACAATGTATCATACACAAAAGCTCACTTGCACAACAGTGTACCTTGCACAACAGTGTACCCTGCACAACAGAGGACTTTACAGATCAATCACATAGACAGACAGACTGACTGACTCACACTGTAAGTGGGAAACAAACCATACCAAATTGCAAGACTTTGCTTTTCTCCTATTACTACTATGGCACAGATTTAAAACATATTTAATTTTAAATCACACCAAATATGTTGCTTATAGCAGAGGATTAATGTTGCTATTTTACCAGCTTTTTCTCATAATCCTACTGTCCTTCAGAAACAAAACTTCAACTGCCCCACATATACAGTTCACTTACTTTTCAGGTAGTGCTGGAACCTCCTGCTCACGGACTTGAAGTTGAAAAGGGAGCTTAGAGAGCAACTACATATAAAACTGACACATTTTCTCTTTGATAAAGTAAATTGGAAGATTTAAAACATGATTCTCAGAGAAATGTTTGTACAAAAATATTAAACAAAGTCCATCATTCAAACTTACTTCCTCTTATGGGTAAAAGCAGTAACTTTTTTTTTTAATATTTAGGAATATATACAGGTAAGTGTCTCTGACATTACTTCAATAGGCTAACTAACCACAGCACAGTGGTAATAATACCATGGCATCAATCCCTATGAAGGACCACTATAAAATAAAGACTTTGTCTAGGAGCTGGGTGGTGGCACTTAATCCCAGCACTCGGGAAGTAAAGGGGGGGAAGATCTCTGTGAGTTCTAGGCTAGCCTGGTCTACAGAGCGAGTTCCAGGACAGCCAAGGCGACACAGAGAAACCTATCTTGAAAAACCAAAGACAAACAAACAAACAAAAAAAGAGAGAGAGAGAGAGAGAGAGAGAGAGAGAGAGAGAGAGAGAGAGAGAGAGAGAGAGAGATTTTTGTCAAGGGTCTTAAACAGTAGGTTTAAATCTTAGCAACTATCAAGGTATTAGCTGAAGTAAAGGCAGCGTTATTCAACCTAGTGAGAGTAGTAACGGGCACTTCAGGAACTCCACCTTAAGAGTAAATATTGAGAGATGTACGTGGTAGCACGCACCTTGATTTCTGTACCCAGGAGGCAGACAGATGGATCTCTAAAAGTTCAAGGCCAGTTTGGTCTATACAGTGAATGAATTCCAGGACAGACAGGGCTACATAGAGAAAGCTTGTCTCAAAAACACAAACAAGCAACAATAACAAAAGTAAAATTCAGGAATATTACTTTAAGTAGGACAGTCTGTAGGTTCTCATTCTAAAACTAAGAAAAATTAACACAGCTCTCCAAAACTTACCTTAAATATGGAGTTTGGACAGTGTGTGTTGTTACTGAGGAGTTCATATTTGGAGGCAGAGATCTCAGTGAGCCCATAGGATCGGGTCCTAGGCCATAGCTCTGGGCAACAGATACTTGGTGAATGCTATGACCCAGGTAGTTTCCACCATGCGACTGAACTGGATATGTCTATTAATCAAAGAGAAAAAAAATGATACCTTGCTTTCTCAATCATTTACTAAACATATCTAAAACTTTAAGACTTAAAGGAAATAAAGTTTTTAATTATTTGTGGAACAATCTGATTCTACCAACCTTTCCACACTGCAACAAAAAGTGGAGAGCTTCCAACTCATGGTGTCTAATCAATGAACATTTACAATGTGTTTAATTGTTCTTTGATTTTGTAGGAGTTTGGAAGAAAAAAGTGGGGACTATTTTAAAGCAGAAAGTTGGAATCTATCAAGAGTGCCTAAAACAACATACATCTTGCCACAGAACCGTCCCTTGAAGGGACACCCATGATTACTCCAGGTAAGCATGAGAATGACAACTCTTCACTCTCATTCCAGGATGACTCCTCCAAGTCCTCCGTGGTGAATAGAAGGTTGAAAGAGAAAGCCAGGGGGCCAGGTCCTCTCTGCCTTGTGTACCATATCTCCTGCTATAGTGGATTAAATATAAATGTTCCCCATATGCTCACAGGGAGTGGCACTATTAGGAGGCATGGCCTTATTGGAGGAATTGTGTCACTGGGGTGGGCTCTGAGGTTTTAGATGCTCAAGCCAGGCCCAGCATCACTCTCTCTTCCTGCTGCCTGCCAATCTAGATGTAGAACTCTTAGCTCCTTCTGCAGCACCATGTCTGCCTGTGTGCTGCCATGTTTTCTACCATGATGATAATGCACTTAATCTCTGAACCTGTAAGCCAGCCCCAATGAAATATGCTTTCCTTTATAAGAGTTGCCCTGGTCATGGTGTCTCTTCACAGCAGTAAAACCCTAAGACATCTGTCTTCAGAAGATAAGAGAGAAAAGAGTTGTGAGGATAAGACAAAATGCATCCTCAGGAAACCACCAGATTCTTATGTATTCCTATGTAATTTTCACAGTAACAGCTCCATTAAGGACAGCGTTCAAAACAATCCACATGTTTAATAAATACCGTACAGTAGTAATCACTGGTCCAGCTTTGTTTAAAGCAAAGATCACATTACAATTTAGAATGGTAGGCATGCCAAATAAATTATATTAAGTGCAACGACATTATCTCTTTAGCACTGATGGCAACCCACTGCCAACAGGCTGAGACTGTAGGAGCAGACATGAGCAGCTCACGGTTTCTAAGTGTCCTTTTCAGACCAACTAATGGTGCTGACACCCATCCACTCTTACTAGATACATCTTTCAAATAGAACGGGAATTTCTGAATATTTCAAATAAACTCACATGCCAATTAATATATTAAGAGGCTGTGTGAAAAAAGTAACCCCCTTGAAAGCCTTAAGAAGGAAAACAAAGAACAGCTGTACACGGACTGCAGCACAGAAACCAGGCACAGGAATGAGCACCCCTTACAGACACACAGTCCTACTGCACAGGGGACACACATCTGCTTTGTTCCACTTTCACAGAAACAACAAACAGATTTTTGAAAACAGAAGTAATAGTGGATAAACTTTAGGAGTCTTTTTGTACCCAGAAATCCCTTCTAAGCTCATACATAATTTTCATAAAGTTCACATCATGGCATATTTGATAAATGCTTCTTGTCTTGTGTGACAGTTACCACAGTAACCATTTAAAAAAAAAACTTAGCAATTATATTGTGTTACATCATCTAATTATGCACTCACATTCTACTTTTTCTCCTTGGTGTCTCCTTGACAAATACTGGTTTTCATAAACTAACATGAATTTTGTTAAATTTAATTGGCTAAAATTTAAAAAATGTTTCAGAATTGGGGATACTGAAAAAATTAAGTATTCTAATATCAGATGGCAAGCACAAAAACATGGAAAGTACTAGAAAGGTACTGTTAATGGGTGGCTTATGGCAATTATACCTCAAAGGGCCTGTAGCAAAGCTTCATTACACACTTTTCTTTTTTTTTTTACATTTTGAAGTCACGAACCTAAGAAAATATAAAGCATGCTCTGAGACTAGAAGAAGATATTAGATGCTGAGACCCACAACCAAACATTAGGCAGAGCACAGGGAATCCTGCAGGAAAAGAGGAGGAAGGATTATAGGAGCCTTCAGAAGGGTCAAGGCCACCTGAAGAAAATGGCCCATATTAACCAGGGCTCTAGGGCTCACAGAGACTGAAGCGACATTCAGGGAGCCTGTATGGGTCTGATCTAGGTCCTGTGCACGTATGTTACGGTTGTTAGCTTGGTGTTATCTCGTCCAGCCTTACTAAGGGATGTGCCTAGTCTTATTGTAACTTGACATGCCATGTTTGGTTGATGTCCCTGGGAAGCCTGCTCTTTTCTGAAGGGAAAGAAAGAGTGGATTTGGGGGAGAGGAGAAGTTGTAAGGAGGGACTGGGACCAATGGAGGGAGAAACTGCAATTGGAGTGTAATATATGAGAGAATAAATAAAAAGAAGCTCATTAACTACTCTTTAAATAATTACCTAAGACAAATCCTGAAAGAAGTTTTTAAAGAAATATTTAGTCTCCTTGTTGAGCAGTCCCCAGAAGATTTACACAGCAGATCCTACATAAAAGGACCCACACTTTATAATATCTACAGATAGCTTATATCTACAGAATAGATACATATTATTATGTATTATTAGAAAGGCATACAAAGAAGCATAACCCACCTTTAATACACTTAGTGGTCTTTTCATTGTGTTAAAAATGAACTGGAATGTGTTTGTGGAATCACGTAGCTCATCTTTACAGTGAATAGTATCTAGACAACACTTCCTGAGACCATAAAAGTGCAGTGTCGAGGTCTGAGTATGAAGACCCCCACCCCTGAACATCAAAGGCTGTGTGTTGGGAGGACAGGCTTTCAGCTGTTCGGATCAATCCGGTAGTGAGTCCATAGTTGATCAGGCTATAAGGTGAGCACTTGCTGGACAAAACAGCTCACTAGGGCTTCTGAAGGTTTATCTCGGCCCGGATCTTCACTGCTCTGCTTCCCACCTGCCATGAGGATGAGGTGGCTGTGCTCCACACACACGCTTTCAGGCCTGAAGAAATGGAGCCAGCTGGCCATGAATAGAGACATTTGAAATCAGGAGGCCAAATAAACCTCTCCTCTTTTGAGCTGATTTTTCTCAGGTATTTTGTCACAGTGAAGGAAGCTGACACAGTTAATCTTTTTTTTTTTGGTTGTGAGTCTAGCCTGTAATGGCTGAACCATCTCTTCAACCCTAGTTTTATAATTTCATTCATGGGCAATAGATCTTTAATATGCTCTTAAACATTTAACTTAAAAAGATGAATATTTTCTCAAAAGCAATGCTCACCTGCACTGGAACCCCAGAGGATGTAGATGAGTAATGTGCTGGATGAAGCTTTGCATAGACTGAATAGACAGGTACCTCATTCACCAATTTGTTATATAGGTCCAGAGCTTCCAAGACCTTTACATTCAACTCAGACAGTTCTGAATGCCGCCTGATAGAGAAGAAAAGTATTTTCATGGCAATGTAAAGGAAGGATTGTTTAAGTTTAGTACATTTTTATTCATACCTCAAAAGGCTTTTTTCATATGCAATAATAGGATAGTCAGTCAGAAAGGGACACTGAGAGAAGAAATTGTTGCATCAGTCAATAGTTAGTCTTCCTATTAAGTCTTCCTAATAATATGGGAAATTGTTGAATTCAGGCAATAATTAGTCTTCCTAATAATATGGAAAAGTCAGATCTAAACCTCATAAATGCAAATCAATTCATAATTTGTGCTAGAATTTACTTTAGTATATTATAGATTTATGTTGAAAATTCAATTACAAAGAAAAATGGTCCCAATTTCAGTAAAAGTCTATGCCTTCATTATAAATCTCACTTACACAGTATGCAGGGTGCTACCCAGAGCTTCTGTGAAGTATATTGTGACTTAAACAAAAGCATAATGGAAAAAAAAAAATCACACATACTTTAACTTGCTTAGATCCATAAGAGAATCAACTAAAAATTATTTAACCCCTCATCTGCCATGCAGTAACATGGGTGAGGGAAAGATGCCCTCCCCCTCCACCCCTTGCTACCTGTGGCAGGAGGGAGAGAGAACTAGCCTTGCCCTACATCAGCCGCAGCACACAGGAGAGCAGGCCCTGCACCCTTCGTGGGCAGTACACTAGAGCGGACCCTGCTGTCGGGTGCAGGAGAGCCAGCCCTGAGGGCATGAGAGCAGGAGAGATGACCCTGCCCGCCTCGTATGTCCCTACAGCAATCAATCAATCGGGAGAGAGGGCCCTGCACCTTGCCTGGGCAAAACAGTAGAGCTGGTCCTGGCGATATGAGTGAGGAGGACCTGGATCTGAGGGCCCAAGAGCAGAACTGGCCCTGTTCCGTGCTGTAGGCTGCATTGAGTGAGCTAGCCAAGGCAGTGCTGGAGAGCTCATCCCAGTAGTGGCAATGAGGAAAAGCTAGCAAGTTGGCCCAACCCAACATCCACCCAATCTACGAAATGTTGGAGCATGTGAAGGGGACAAACCTATAGACCCAAAGCTGCAGGATCCCCACGACACAGGACAATAGGACAAGAGGGGCCCCAGGGAGAGTCTTTTATTGGTAGTGTAGCGGAAACCAGAGGCCTCAAGCCACACCAGTCACCTGTGGCAATGAACAATTCCAAGTAAAGATGAACGGACTAAAGGGTAAATTGTGTCTCAACAGGCCACATTACAGTGTCCACAAGATTTTTGTTTGTTTGGTTGGTTTTTCTTTTAAATTTAGTTTTCATTTGGGAGGTTGCAAGCACAGAGGGCAGATTCGAGGAGACAGAGATAAGTGGGATAGGAATGCATGATGTGAAATCCACAAAGAATCCATAAAAGTAAAAAAATTTTCTAAACATTACCAAGAAAACGTAAGTAAAATCAATATATATACATGCTAGTCTCCACTATGCTTTATTGACTTGGTGGTTTTGAGGAAGTAAATAAAACCAGGCACCTTACTGTATAACAACCAAGCCAAACAAACATTTCCACATTGCCCAGGGAACATATGGCAAAAATCCTTCTGATTTGGTATAATTCTGCCTAGTCCCCTGGAAGTAGTAAATGACAACTTATAATGGACAAATTTATACAAAAAATGGCTACTTTTTATCTGGCCTAAAGCACCTGCAAGTCTATACTGAACGTGGTTCAGTCTATAGAGAGGGGGAGGCAGAAGCAAGCAAACACACAGCCCACCATACAAATGGCCATCTCTCCTTTAGTAAAAAGGTGCTGTTTCTTCTCTAGCAATGATTGTAAGCAGGCCACGATCTTCAGAAGTATCTGCTGCAAAGCACCCAAATCTACAGAAATCAGGTGTGTGTACTAGCAAATGTGTGACTAAGAATTAACCTAAGAATCTGGTCTACATAACCCAGCACACTGATGAAACACCGGCAGAGCCATGGAAGGCCATGATCATCATGCATGAAACCACTTTTCAAGATCCAAGATAATCCAAAGCAAAAGCAAACTTTACTTAATTGTACTCAAAACTATACTGCAACAAGTGAGGACATATGAGTCTCTATTACTAGAAGACAAATTCAAAAGCGCGCGCGCGCGCGCGCGCGCGCGCACACACACACACACACACACACACACACACACACACACACACACTGCAAGTGGTGTAACATATAACCAAGTACAAGCTTCTATGACATGGGGAGAGAATACAGAATTTAGAGGAGATTAATAGGAGCTGGGGACTGCAGAGACAAGCCTAGGATTTAAGCTGGTCCTGAGGAAGAAGGCACAGGCAAGGTGGTGCCAGATGGTGCAAAGAAAAATAGGCAAAGAGACAAGCTGGGTACACAAAGGAAGAATGAAAAGGACAATGTGATGATGAATAATTATTTAGGGAAGGCCGTAGAAAATCAGGTCACAACAGTCTGTAACCTAGTCAAACAGAACAGCAGCTGTAATCCCTGAGGTTGTAAATGCTATAGGATTTCATTCTTTGTGTTGACAAGATGAAACGGACAATTTAATTTTCTAACAACAGAGTTTTATCCCCACCCCCACTCCCACCCTGTAGGAATAGCAAACTACTGACGATTCATTCATGGGAAAAATGGTTTATATCTATCTCTGAATTCTCGACTGGAGCAACCAAAGGGACTAAAAAGTACTATCCAGCACAGTAGCTGTGTCTGGACCCATTGCTGTGAAACACAAACACCAGCTAGTCGACTCATTGCTTAACAACTGTGCTCTCTTCAAAGTTAACTGACATCAGAAACAGGGACTCTATGAGTTTTAATTCCTTTAGATATTTTTCTTCAGTGATATTCTTTTTATTTAACAAAAATAAGGTTACACTGTCATGTCTTCCCCTATAGATATGGCATCATTCCATATCAACAAATATTTATCAATGGCAATAATTTCTACTATGAAATATAGAATTTTAATTTTGAAAACCAATCTCACACTGAAAGGCATTTTAGCTAGCTGCATTTTTATGGTCATAAGTAACATAAATAACATAACATAAATAACACAGTGCTGAATACCACAACATCTGATCATTGTGTGTATCTCCCTAGGTTTAGTATGGGCTTCAAATGGCTTGGTTAATTTTTCAGCCCAAGGAAATGTGTCCCTATACTCCTAGCCACACCTATGGCAAACTGGTCATTTTCTTTCGTCTTTTCCAGTCTGATTACTCACTAATCACTAGTAGCAGATGTATAAGTAGGTGTGTGATGCTTTCTCCAAAAATATGATCAATCTACCATTGATTATTTCATTTATGTAAAAACACAAGATTTGTAAAATTACATTATGGAGGAGCTGGAGAGATGGCTCACTGCCTGCTCTTCCAAAGGACCCAGCTTCGATTCTCAGCTCATACCCATCGTAACTCCAGTTCTAGAGGATCTGATGCCCTCTTCAGGCCTCTGCAGGCACCAGGCACAGACATGGTGCACAGACATACATGAAGGTAAAACACACACATAAAAAATACTCTATGGAACAAAATATTTTTTCCTTGAACAAATCATCACATTTGCTATTCCTACTTTTAAAAAAATCTATTAGAAAAGTAAACGCCCTAATCCTTTCCTTCCTGTATTATTTATAGAGCAGTTCAATGGTAGGGGCTGGAAAGGGAGAATGGAGAGTAACTCCTTCCCTGGACTTCATTCCTCAAGTTTCTCCTTCAGTACAGAGAGAACCTGATAAAGGACGGAATGGCGCGGAACGCATCGGAAGCTGACAGCTGACAGCCGACCCAGCAGCACGGCTGCCCTTCTCAAGAGCAGCAAAACCAGGGAGAAAAGGAACCGAAAGGGCGACAGGAACAGAGACACGAGAGGAAACAGGACTAGTTGCTGCATTGCATTTAGCTCCTCAAATAGAGAAATTTCACTTGTAGTGGACACAGATGTCACTCGGGTCTGTAGCAGGTCAATGCTTGCCTAAGACTCCCATTTTCATCTTGTCCTCAATTCACTTTATTCTTTATTACTCAATTCCAGCCCCAAAGTGACTGGTGGGATCAAATGCAAGAGTCCACAATTCTATGCATATCACATTACTACCACTGATGAGAAAGAATGTTCCCAAAATAACAGCACTATGAGCAACCAGCTCTAAGAGTCTGGCAACTAAACAGTAATCGCAATAGATGACACAGTTCCAGAAGCACTTTCACCAGCTGAAAGCTCACTCAAACAAGTAAAGATGTGAAAATGATACAGTTTTTACTGCATAGAAAACCTCACCTATCAATCTCTTCAAGCTTTTCATCTATCATTGGACCCATCTGTTGGCAAGTATCTGTAAATATAGAAATAATTACAAATATAGAAACTTAATAAAGCTTAAGTCAGTTTCAACAATCTTTAAACAAGAGAATATGCATCATCATACAAATTACAGAGAAATAACTTTGCGCCAGAGAAGAGATGATAAAAGCTCTATTTTAACAACATTTATAGCACCTTTGCTACTATATACTACTATCACAGACCAAGGGCAAAGTCAAAATTAGAATAAAAATCCCATCATGTTCCTAGAGCCATTAGCCAAGTTTATAGGGGGATAACTGTGACAGTTATCCCAAAGTCTGAAGAGTATCTACAGAACTACTCCTAAGTAAAGCAAACCGGGCCCATACTGCATAAAGAATGTACACATGTGCCCACACATTAAATAGAAACATTTTCATCTATTTAAGACATTTTAAAATGCAAGAATGATAAAAGATAACAGAGCTTGCTCCACAGCCTGGTGACCTGAGTTTGATCCTCAGGATCCTCATTCGGAACAGAGAGGCAACTCTGTAAAGACATCCTCTGGATTCCACAAATGCATATGGCATGCTCACCCACACCATACACCATGCACATGTATAAAAATATAAACACTAATAACATATAAATACTTATAATGGGGAAAAGCTACATATTCATAACCAAGCTTTCTTCTATAAAAAAATTAAGATTTATATATTTGCTGTATTTTTTTCCAAAGGAAATTGTTTGGTTTTGGTTTTGTTGTTTTTTGACAGGGTCTCACTCCATAGTTCAGACTGGCCTTGAACTCATGACAACCCTCCTGTCTTAGCATTTTTCATGCAAGAATTATATGTACAATCCCCTTATGCACAGATCCCCAAAGTACTGTGGATTTTTGTTTGTTTTTTTGGTTGATTGGCTTTGGTGTAGAAACCCAAGAAGGATTCTTAAAACACAAAAGATTATCTGTTTTTGCTTTAATCTCTTAGCAACTAAAGGATACACAGTGAGGAGACAGTTAAAACAAAAACAAGCACTTTTACATGTTGATTTGATTAATATGCTGTTATTTCTAATTCTGCCCTTCCTTTGGCGGATCTCACCAGTATTCACCAGAAATACGAGGACTCCCTTCGTGAAAAGGCGGTGACAATACTTTTGAAGTGACATTTCCACTACTTTATTATACAGGTCTGTTTTTCACCAGAATTTCAAAACTCAAAAAGCAAACAGGAGGCAGGAAAAAAACTTCAAGACACTATAAACAGGTAATATATATGTTAAGCAACGTTAAGGTGAATTCAATATTAACTAAATACCTTCTAGGTCCAAGAGATCTTGGGAGTCAGGTTTTGAATCCTTCGGATCTATGCTCTGAAGAACCTGCAGAGCTCTATCCATTTTATCCTAAAAAAGCAACGGGTGACACTAAGAAGTCCAGAGAGTTACCTTTGCTGGAGAGAAAAGCACTGTTCCCAGGCATTCTCAAAGATAACACATTTTTAAAGTCTTGGTGTTTATTAAACAAAAGGACGATACCTCATCTATATAAACAGGCTCAGGCTCTGATTTCTTAATTTCCTCCACATCATCATCAATTACATTCAACTTGTCCACCGTTGCTACGGAAACAAAGTAAGTTATAAGTTCTTCAACATTTACTTTGGCAATTCAGTCATTTATTTCTAAGTGGTCTATTATTATCCATGGGTGGGGAGAGCTCTTTAGTCATCACACTTCATAATCAATATATTATATACAGTCATTCATTCACACCACAATATTTATTCAGCACTGACAGTGTGCCAACCCTCCTTCCTAGTACTTATACACACACCAGTGACTAAACACAAGAACCTCGTACTCATGGAAAAGTGAGCCGCGTTTTGCAGGCACTGTCACTACAGCCACTTTCCTGAAAACTGAATGTTACCACTAGATCAAGTAGATACACAAGCGGATAGATGTCATCACTAAGCCAGTTTCACTTATAACTGTTAAGTTCCATCTATACTCTGACCTTCTATATTTATAAATAAAAATTCTAACCTGCATTTTCTATTTGAACAAAATATAGACCTGATTTAACCTAACTCTGATAGTTAAAACAGTACAAAGTTACAACAGTAAAAAGTATTTCATAAAGAGGATGTTGAAAAATAATTTATAAATATACATATCCTGGAAACTAATACAAGTTCCTTGGAGCAGTGCTAGAATGTACTCAATTTTAGTTAAATTTTGATTGAAACCAAGATACTATAAAAACCAATGCCACGCCCAGCTCTCACTACTCTTCAGTGTCACTAATAAAAGCCAGGGGAAAATAATCTCCACAGATTGAGGTTTCTGAGGACCCTTGTGAACTCACCTGCCTCCGACTCTATGTTTAAGTTGGTCGTCACGAAGTTGGAGGGGAAGAGTCCTATTCCTCGGTGACTTTCTCCTTTCCACCAGTTGGCATCACTGAAAACAGAGCATGAAAATGGTCATTCGCTCTCTATCCTGTCAAGAGGAAACTAAAAACAGTTATCATACTTTTAAATTTTAGTTTACATCTAGCTATTTGTAAGCTGTTTTTCTTAGATAAGCACAGTGGGACATACCTGTAGCCCTAGCACTGGAATGGCAGAAATAATTTTTTCTTCAAATTAATAAAAATGTATTAAAATATACAAATCAAAGAAAATCTACATCCCCTTACCTAAATTTTGAAGCACTTTTCAGTGATTAAGCCCCAAGCCCAAATCCTTCCTTCCACACTACCAGCATCCAAGCTAGACAGCGGCCTCCTTCCCTGGGTCCTCCATCCTTTCACACTTTCTACCCATAGCTAAAACGACACTTGTGTAGACATGTGCTACTCCAGCAGAGAGCCCCTTTCAGTTTGATGATTAATACTTCCGGAGCCCGCACATCTCTTTCAAAGTTCTACTGAAGTGCACATTATATTTAATTTACTCACTTCCGTGAAGATGAACTTCTAGGTCATTCCCAGTCCTTCAACACTATAAAGACTGAATAGTGCAGGGAGGTGATGGCACATGCCTTTAATCCCAGCACTCAGTAGGCACAGTTAGGCAGAACCTTGAGTTTGATCTCTGAGTCTGAGGCCAGCCTGGTCTACAGGGTGAGTTCCAGGTCAGCCAGGGCTACACAGAGAAACCCTGTCACAAAAAAGAAAAAAAAAAAAAACCAAAAAAACAAACAAACAAAAGACTGAATAGTAACCATTCTAGATTAGAAGGCCCATAAGCAACTACTACTCCAGGTTTGTTCAATACAATGACCTGCAAGCTAGGTGTGATGCATATGTCTATAGCTCTTATTACCTGGAAAGAATCCCATTAGCCCAGGAGTTCAAGACCAGTCTGGACAAAAAACCAAAACAATGAAACCCTTTCTCCCCACAAATAGGAGGATGGGGGGTGGAGTGGGGTGGGGGAGCAACCCAAACAGTTTGCTGGCTCATGGGATATAAGCATGCTCAATTTTACAGATATTGTCAAATGTTCATCAGAAACACTGTGGGAGTTCACGTTCCTTCTTCCCCAAGGAGCACATAATGAAGTCATTTTTCCCCACACTTGATAACTGTCCATGCCTACACCCAACACCAGCAAGAAGGTGGGGTCATACTTCACTGTGCTCATCTGCATCCTCAAGCTTCCACCCGTGGGACACTGCCTCTTCCATAAACTGCTTGCTCTGATCTTTGCTCCTTTAGCTCTTCCTATTGGATCATGGCATTTTTTCATGGATTGTAGTTCTTAGTGTACTCAGAATGGCAACTGCTTGTCTGAATTAAGACCACCCCTGCTCTCAGGCCGATTCAGCAACCCTTTCTTTCTCTATGTCTTACATGTTTACCTATCTTTCTCTATCCTGCATTAGGAAGTCTATTTCCCCACAGATTTGTCCAGTAGTTCAGATTTTCATTTTTGTCCTCTCCCATGTTGAGGTCACTATTTATGTGAAATCAAACTGCATGTACTGTGTGAATCAAACTTCATTTCACTATAGAATAGCTAATCAGCCTGCAGAAATTACTAAAAGTTTACCTTTAAAAAAAAAGGAGAATTTATGATATCCTAACTGTCCAACAGCAAGTTGTACGTGTTCACGAGCTATTCCAGTATCTCACTCTATCCAACAATCGGAAGAGGAACTCTTCATCTACAGTTCTGTCTTCCGTGCCTTCACTTACCTGTAGTCAACCATGGTCTAAAACTATCAAGAGAAAAGGTCTGTAGAACTAGCAATTTGTAAGTTTTCAATTTTATGTCATCTGCCTAGGAAGTGAATCATTTTCTCTGTCCAATACATCCATACACACATACACACAGGAGCCCAAGGAGGTCAGAAGAGGTGTTGCCCTCCCTGAAACTGGAGTCACAGATGGCTGTGAGCTGCCATGTTGGTCCAGTGAACCAAACCAAGGCTCTATGCAAGAGCACTAATAATTGCTGAGGGCAATTTTTGTTACTATTGTGAATGACATCTTTTCTACTACATTTTCTAAATATAGCACTGATTTTTTTGTATATGACGTTTATATCTAATAACCCTAACATAAACTTAGCTGTTTATTAATAGTCTGTCCATTGACTATCTTGGACTCTTCACATGGACAGTCATAGTTACCTAGTAACCCTTTTTGTCTACTTTATAGAAATCTCATGTGCCAACTGCCATTCTTAAGGATGGTTTTGTTTTTCTTTTTCTTTTTGGTAGGACTAGGAACCAGAGCCAAAGCTTTTTCATGCTAGGCACAAATTCTTTTCTTTTTAAAAACAATAATTTATTTAACTTCATTTTATGTGATTTGGTATGAAGGTGTCAGATCTCCTGGAACTAGAGTTACAGACAGCTGTGAGCTGCCATGCAGGTGCTAGAAACTGAACTTGGGTCCTCTGGAGGACCAGCCAGTGCTCCTAACCATTCAGCCATCTCTCCAGCCCCTAGGTACAAACTCTTAACACTGAGCTGCCCACTAAGGAGGAATCTTAGGATTAATAATCAATTAATCTCCAAGATTCTCAAACATTTCATTTACTGAGTTCCACAAAGATATAAAAGAGTTATCCATCACCAAAATTCTTTTGGTGGTGTTGTTTTTTTGGTTTTTTGATTGGACTCCGAGAGATCCACCCAGGGCCTAGTCATGTATCTCTGCATCCAGATCCCTCAGTAGTTGGATGAGGTTTCTAGCACAACAATTAGGGTGTTTGGCCATCCCATCACCAGAGTAGGTCAGTTCGGGCTGTCTCTCGACCATTGCCGGCAGTCTGTTGTGTGGGTATCTTTGTGGATTTCTGTGGGCCTCTCTAGCACTTTGCTTCTTCCTGTTCTCATGTGGTCTTCATTTACCATGGTCTCCTATTCCTTGTTCTCCCTCTCTGTTGTTGATCCAGCTGGGATCTCCCGCTCCCCCAAGCTCTCTTTCCCTTGACCCTCGCCTTTCATTACCCCCACTCATGTCCAGGCTGTTCATGTAGATCTCATTCCATTTCTCTGTCATTGGGCGATCCCTGTGTCTTTCTTGGGGTCCTGTTTTCCGGGTAGCCTCCCTGGTGATGTGAGTAGCAGACAATTCATCCTTGTTTCATGTCTAGTATCCTGCTATGAGTGAGTACATACCATGTTTGTCTTTCTGAGTCTGGGTTACCTCACTCAGGATGATTTTTTCTAGATCCATCCATTTGTCTGCAAACCTCATGATGCCATTGTTTTTCTCTGCTGAGTAGTATTCCATTGTGTATATGTACCACATTTTGTTTATCCATTCTTCAGTTGAAGGGCATCTGGGTTGTTTCCATGTTCTGGCTATTACAAACAGGGTTTTTTTTTTTTTTGTTTTGTTTTTGTTTTTTGTTTTTTTTTTTTGGTTTTTCGAGACAGGGTTTCTCTGTGTAGCTTTGCGCCTTTCCTGGGACTCACTTGGTAGCCTAGGCTGGCCTCGAACTCACAGAGATCCGCCTGGCTCTGCCTCCCGAGTGCTGGGATTAAAGGCGTGCGCCACCACCGCCCGGCACAAACAGGGTTTTTCTGTGTAGCTTTGGAGCCTTTCCTGGAACTTACTCTGTAGCCCAGGCTGGCCTTGAACTCAGAGATCCACCTGCCTCTGCCTCCCAAGTGCTGGGATTAAAGACGTGCACCACCACTGCCCATCACCTAAATTCTTAAGATCAGAAAATGATGTATCAACAGTTCTGAGATATTATTATATATGCTAATTCCTCACTCTCAGTGGAAAAAAAAAGCCTCCTCACTCTGTCAGGGATTTGGCTACAGCAAAGAGAAAAGTAACCAAGACTGAAGCTGACATTGTCAAGATGAGAAAGAAATGAAGCTGTTGAAATAACACTGACATTTTCTTGCAGCTGTTATGGAAAAACAAGAAAACAAAACAAAAAAACAAAAACCTATCTTTGCATTCTGAGATTTCAAAAAGAGATTCAGGGTCTCCCATCTAGTTTTAGGTCTTGGGCTGGCAACATAACTCAGTTACAGTACTCCCCAGCCTGAGGACCCAAGTTTGACCCCAGGACCCACATGGTGGAAGGAAAGGACCAATCTAAGTTGTCCTCAACTACTACACACGTGACATAGCACATACATGGCCCACTCCCCATAATAAATAAATAAATGTAAATATCAGAATCATGAAAAACTTCAGCCTTTGTCTTCAGCTATGAACAGGAACCAAGATGACTCTCCTGATGACCTTTGTAGTGACAATGGCAAAGGAAACAAATGTCCTCGATGGGTGAAATCGCCACTGAGAACATCAGGGTGAAACCGCCACATGAGAACACTAGGGTGAAACCACCACATGAGAACACTAGGGTGAAACCGCCACGTGAGAACACAAGGGTGAAATTGCCATGTGAGAAGACTAGGGTGAAACACCACGTGAGAAGACTGTCTGCCACAAACAAGTAAGCAGTAAACCCAGAACTACAGTGATATCATCCCAATCACTTTCATTTTTCTTCTTTCTTCCATACTTCCTCTATGAGGGGGGGAGGAGGTTGTTTTTTTGTTTGTTTGTTTTGTTTGTTTTTCGAGACAGGGTCTCTCTGTGTAGCTCTGGCTGTCCTGGAACTAGCTTTGTAGACCAGGCTGTTCTCGAACTCACAAAGATTCGCCTGCCTCTGCCTCCTGGGGGCTTGGACTAAAGGCAAATATGGCCAGTTCCCATTTTTTCTTGAAGCTTCTTTTTTACTTCATAATCAACCGTTCCATTTAATACGTTCCATTTAATACTCCTTACAGTACCTTGTCAACTTTTTCAAAGTCAACCCAAGGGGCTAGGGACATGATGCAATGGCAAAGCACTGCCCTGACTGTACCGGCCTGGGTTCAACCTTTGACAATGAAAAACGTGGAACAAAAATACGTCATCAAGACTCCTCTAAAACAGAGCAGCCCCTGGGCAAGCCTCCTGTACCACACATCTACACCAAGTGTAAACTGATTCTCCATGGCCCGAGACAGCCTCTTTCATGGCCATCACCAGGTTCTGTCTTGCACATCACTGTCTACACAGTCATTTAAACTCCCTTACTTAAGTTTCACAAAAACAGAACTGTGTCCTCATTCATTTTTTATTATAACCTGTCTATTACGTAACATTTTCTCTATAAATACTTAGAGCAGCAAAGCAAAACCATATGTATCTAGACACTTAAAAATAGGCTAGACTGGGGCCAGCAAGATGGCTCAGCAGGTTAAAGTCGAGTCTGATAGCTTGAATTGGATCCCCAGCCCACATGGTAGAAGGCTGACTCTTGCAAGCTGTCCTCTGACTTCCACGTGCACACAGTAGTGTGTGTGTGTGGGCGGGGGCGGGGGGGATGAACACATTCACACATTCATGCATGCGCACAAATAAATAAACGACCTTAAAAATGAAAACTACCTCTACTTGACTCGGATATCCTCACTGGGTTATTCAGAATGGAAGCAGGCACATGTGCTAAATCTGTTCACAGCAACAAGCTGTCTGACCTCACTGTTGCAAAGTTTCTTCAACTTAAAAAAATTACTACATTTATGTATCGATTTGCGTGTGTGTGTGTGTGTGTGTGTGTGTGTGTGTGTGTGTGTGTGTGTGCGCGCGCGCGCGAAGGTCAGAGGCCAACTTGCAAGAGGAGGCAGTGCTCTCCTTCCAGCACGTGGGCCTCAAGGACGGAACTCAGGTCATTAGGGAAAGACAAGAGCTCTGACCCACTGAGCCATTCAACTGCTTTTAAAATAAAGTCCACGCACAAGTCTTCAGTCTCTAGAACCTCAACATTTGGGAAACTGACAGGAGGCCTTAGAGGCCAGGCCAGTCTGGGCTACACAGTGAGAACCTGTCCCAAAAACAAACAAACAAACAAAAACCACACACACAAAGAAGAGAATTGGGCTCAAATCGGATCGATCTATTTTTTCTCCTTAGAATTTTAAATGATAAAGGATTGTGGGGGGAATATACAGTAGTAGCAGGAGAGGATGGGGGAAGAGCCAGGCATGGCTTTCAATCAGTTCTCATTCCTAGTCTAACCTTCAAGAAAGCAGTCAGAGAAGACTGCACTATCTGACTAAAAGGAAGAACCTGAACACTCCTGATTCTCAGCTAAGGATACTGTACTGTTTTCAGAATATTCCACACGTAAAAATGTGGAACATACCTGTCATCCAAAACAGTAATGATTTCACCGTGTTTAAAGGTGAGTTCGTTGTCCTCCACGGCTTCAAAGTCGTACAACGCTCTGACTCTCCGCGCAGGCTTGTTATTTAACTGCGTCTCTGCAGGTGGACACAGAGACTTTGTCTCTGCGCACTGCTGCTTCTGCTCTTGCAAGGACAGCTCAATAGCTAGTTAAAAGAATTAAAATGCAAATATATCTGGAATTAATTTTAACATCGAAAGAAGTTTAAAAAAATACTGGATAACAATTTTATATTTAACAATAAATCAAGTATGCATTTTCTTTTTTTCAAGAGGATCTCGTGTAGCCTTGAACTCCCTAAGTAGTTGAGGATGACCTTAACTCCTGGTCCTCATCTCCACCTCTCAAATGCTAGGACTTTAGGCCACCAAGCCTGTCCAAACAAATACTAAGTGGTTAAATTCACGAGGGGACAGGGACACATAACATTTTTAAAATAACATTTTGCTCATCCCTTATTATCACAGTCTGTAATATACAGCAGCTATTATTTTTATAGCAAACAGATTGTGACATTATAATATGGGTAGCTTTCCATATAGGACAAACCATGAACATATTTCTGTGCTTGAGTCATAACTTTGGCATTAAGAAAAGGTGAAATGTAATCTCTCTAAAGGTAGAACATTAAACACATATCACTGAAAAAGAAAATGAATTAGGTTCATCTTCCATCATGTCACTGGTTTTCTTGACTTCTAAGACCCTACAGCTTTTAGAATTGAGGTAGAACTAAAAGCCCATTAGTCTTTTTATAATTTTTCTTTCAATAAAACTTCTTGGTAAGGCTATTTTCAGCAGCAATAAATTATCATGCTCAAGCCTTACCTTTCGCTATGTCTTCATCTTCTTTGTTTCTGTTCAATGATGTACCATTTTTGGCAGCAGCCGAGACAGTCTGTAAGCGTACGAGTAAAATGAGCACAACTATCCTCTCAAAGGAAGCACAAACTCTATAATTATGTATAGATGCTAATTAAAAAATACTGACAACACTGATAACTCAGCTCCATTTAAAGTGAGGTTCTTCATGATCACTTAAGCAGTTGTTTTAAATACTAACATTAAACATCAGTTTTCAAGAAAACATTATAAACACACCAAACACATACCATGACTAATATTTTACATCAATCTAAGTATCTGACATAGAACTGCATAGAGGAAGTATGGAAGCTTTTTAGAGAATGAACAGATACCACTTCTGGCCTCAACTGTTGAAGGTCTCTTATTCAGGGAGAGGCACTCAGGTGCTATTAGCTCAGAGCTCTGACAGGAAGAGAACACTACAGTTGGAGAGGAGCAGCCTTGCAGACTCAGCAGAGGACTGGAGAAGGTCCTGCTGAGTCTGATAGCACCTAAGATAGGTGTCCAGGACTCCAAGCCATCAACAGTTCTTTAACTGTTCTTGAGAATACCATGCAGAAAGGACAGACTGGCTGCTCTTTACTACTCACTAGACAACTAAAGCTATCCTTATGTTTCCAATGAGTCTCCAGTCTTACTGCTCCACCCATCACATTAGCTTATCACCCTCAATGAGTCTCTAGTCTTACTGCTCCACCCATCACATTCGTTTATCACCCTCAACACATTCACTTTGTAACAGGCAATTCTCCATTCGACGAATCTGTTCACATCAGCCCTTTCCCACCATCTCTTCTTTTTTCCACTCTACCTAACACATCACACTCAAATCTCAAAATTCTTCCTCTCTATGTCCTCACTGTCTCAACCTGTAGTCCTTCTTTATCCTTGGTGCTAAGATAGCATCTGGCCTTCATCCATCAGTCTTTGACACTTACAATTTAAATTAGTAATCTGTTGTATGTATATGGCCATCTTTCAAATTGACCATAAGTTTCTTTTGAAACATTTAACTTATGGGTTGAGAAGGCATGTGCATGAATGAGGTCAGAAGACAACTTTGTGCGCTGGTTCTTGTCTTCCATTTTCACTGGGCTCCTGGAACCAACTCAGGTCATATCACTTTTACTCACTGAGCCATCTCACTAGCCCCTTATCATTAATTTCTTAAACATAAGGCTGACTTGAACATCCTATGCTTTTCACATGATTCCAGACTTTAGAGCAGCATTAAACACATTATTTGTATCTGATTTACTTTTTTAAATTTCCAATATATACAAGAAAAATACTGAGCAATTAAATGTCTCTACTAGATGTATACTATGTAAGTACTACATCAGGTAGACTCTTAGGGGATGCAGACAATAAGACATTCCTTGCTAAGAGCAAGATGGTTAACAGGTGCTTACCTGCCACCCACCCTGATGACCGAAGTTACATCCTCAGGACTATATATATAATAAAAAGAGGGAACCAATTCCACAAGTCATCCTTTGACCACCACTCTCTTACTCTCTCTTGCTTACACACACACACACACACACACACACACACACACACACATATATACACACACACACAAAACCCACATCCCTCGCTAGCTTTTATATGAGATCTGTATCTTCAAACAGTAGGGGGACAACCATGGTCTGGATAAATCTCTCACCTGGGAACCTGCTGAAGGAAAAGTAACTCCTTCTTCTTTCATAGATTTAATAGTTGCAGATATCAGACTACATTGGGGGTCCTTTTGGAATTCCTCTGACCATTCCACCATTAGAGATTTCAGTTTTTCACATACTTTAGGATGAGCCTTTTAAAGAAGTGGTTAAAAAAGGAAAACAAACCATGAAAACCCTCCCATGTAGTTAGAGTAAGTACTAAGTTCATCGAGAGCACTGGAAGATGGCTTGGCAGGTACAAGTGCTTGCTTGAGTTTGACCCCATGAAGCACACTGTCAAGGGAGAGAAGCGACTCCCCCCCAAGCTGTTTTCTAGCCCCCACAAAACACACCGTGGCTTGTGCATGTGAGCATGTGCACACACACATGCACACTCACAAAATAAAACAATTTCAATTTATTAACAGAAAATCACCACTCAATTTCTCCTTAAGTATATAAACATCAACGAAGTGCAGTAAGCTCTAGACTAGTTGAGTAATTGACAGATGCTTATTCACATTTTCAGACAGAGATGCTTCATGAAAAAAAAAAATCACCCTTTCAGAATACTTCTTACTCAAATGAGTAGAAATCTTTTTTTTTTTTTTTTTTTTTTTTTTTTTTTTTTTTTTTTTTTCTTTCGAGACAGGGTTTCTCTGTGTAGCTTTGCGCCTTTCCTGGATCTCGCGCTGTAGACCAGGCTGGCCTCGAACTCACAGAGATCCGCCTGCCTCTGCCTCCCGAGTGCTGGGATTAAAGGCGTGCGCCACCACCGCCCGGCTAGTAGAAATCTTTTATAAGGAAGGCTATTTGCTGTTTTCTTCATATTCTCACATGAGATTAGGATTTCTGCATCAACTGGAGTAGCAGCATGAGAATGGTGCTTCAGAGTTTGTGTTTCAAAGAAAGCTCTCATATGAAGGGCCCCTTTCTTCACCAACTCTAGTGGAAGGCGGTACAGAATGGTGCTGAAGTCTGGAATCAAGAGTCACAGACACCCAGATTTGAATCTCAACTACGCCCCTTTCTAGCTGTGTGACCTTGACAAATCTAAGCTTCAAGAGTGGTGAAAAATAAACAAAGCGGTCTACACAGAATAGTCAAAGAAGTGATCAGGCCTCAGCCAAGATGAGCCTGTACCAATAACCAATATGTGTGCGCACACATATACATATACATACATATACATGTATACACACACATATATGGATATACAAGGACATTTATACAGATTATATATGTGTGTATATATATATATATATATATATGGAAGAAAACAGCCTGGATGCTATGACTATCAAAAATTAAGGACAAGAAGTTCTAACTTATTTAAAAGTGGTCTCATCAGTAAGGCAACTTTATTATACATAATTAAAACAATGCGTAGTACATTTATTGTGCAATGACTTAAACTTCTTTTTGGCTTAAAACTTACCTTATTTTTTATCAGAGCACGTACTTCCGTTGCAAAATCACGGGAACACACTTCTAAATGAAATATCTTTCCACAGTTTGCCACGCAAGCCCCAAGAAGCTATCAATTAAAATAAAAACGAATGTATAAACCACAAAATGTTTTGACTTAAGTCACTGACGTGAATGCACTTTTAAATAGGGTCAACTGACAAGACATTTACTCACAGTTAATGCCTGAAGAGCAACATGAGGGACCTTATGGTTTACCCGTTTCATTATGGCTTTTAGGCAATCTTTTGCTCTAAAACAACAACAAAAATATGGAGAAAATTATGAATTTTTTGAGAGTTTCAATTCAAATGTTAAAATTACAAGGTATTTACTAACTAACAGCTTTAAAAATAAAATTCTACAAACATCTTTGTAAGTAAGTCTATGTGGTTTTGCCCACTGTGGTTCACAGATGTTATAAAACTTCGTATTCCAATAAGAGAAAAACCACTTCACCACAAAGCCAGTCAGCATAGAGAACTATACTATACAAATGCTTTTTCTCCAGACAGACTGAGCTTTCTTTCCATCAGCAAATTCTCATCCTGAAAAGAGTTAGCATGATACATCACCTTAAAAGGCTCACTGACACATGGGAACACGCTATGAAGACAGGATGCGAGGACGTTGCACAATCACCCTCTGCTAGAGGAAGCTAGAGCAGCTTCACAGCTGGGTCCTATACAAAAGCATTCTTTTTTATACAAGTTCAATCTTTTCATTATATTACATATTGTATTTAGAAAGGCTCTCATAAAAGTCTACCTCACAGGGAAATTCCTCCACTAGCCAATAGGTTCATGGTTAGCATTCATCCCTGCTGTGAAAGCCTTTACTTATCTATGTAAATATAGATCAGGTTTTCAGTCAAACACTGCCTTTGTTTCTCAAGATAAACCCTAGCCTACTGATCTCTTTACTTCTATCTCCCCAAACCAAACAGCTAGTTAAGTAGGTAGTTACACAGCAAATTTAAATAAATACTTCCATTAAAACTAGCATGTCAGCATCCTTTCAAATTTACGTTGTGAAGACACAAGCTAACCAAGGTCCTTACCCATGAGCATCTTACCCATTGGGAGTGCTTCCAACCCTATCACAGATGTCCATAATCAGACTCCAGTCTTCTGTAGTGTTGTACTCATTTGTGGCTTTTTCTGTAAGACATATTAACATATATAAAAATTAGAACATACCTTTAAAAAACATTAAGGTACCAATGAAGGCCAACAGCTAAGAAGCTACTTTTTTTCTAGTCAGAGACAGAAAAATAGAGATGGATTTCAGAAACGAGTACACTTCTACTAAGTTCAGTTTTATTTACATGTACTTTTAAGGTTTGGGTTTCGTTTGTTTTGTTTTTGTTTTTAAATCAAGGTCTCTCACTTAACCCAGGCTGGCCTGGAATCCGCATAAGGCCTCATCCTGCTGGTCTGGAGAGATGGGTTGGTGATTAAGGGCACTTACTGTTCTTGCATAGGAACTGGGTTCAATCTCCAGCACCCACATGATGTTCACAACCATCTATAGATGCATCCTCCAGTCCCAGGATGTACACGATACACAGACATACATACAAGCAAAACACTCATATACATAAAATAAAATCTAAGCAAAAAAAATTTTTTTTTTTTTTTTTTGGTTTTTCGAGACAGGGTTTCCCTGTGTAGCTTTGCGCCTTTCCTGGAACTCACTTGGTAGCCCAGGCTGGCCTCGAACTCACAGAGATCCGCCTGGCTCTGCCTCCCAAGTGCTGGGATTAAAGGCGTGCGCCACCACCGCCCGGCTTAAGCAAAAAAATTTTTAAGTAAAAAAAAAAAAATTTTTAAAAGCCTCACCCTGCCAAGAGTTGGGATTATAGACATGAGCTGCCAGGGCCAACTTAACTTCAGTTTTAAACTGTATCCTATAATGATATGAACCAAAACTAACTAAATGTTCTCAGGTATACCAGTAAAATGTCTTCAAAATTAATTATCCAAACAATCCTAATTTGGAACACAGTTTTTAAAATAAATCATCATACGAGTAAATATGCATCACCGTCCTTTTTATTTTACATTTATTTATCAGAGTGCATGCATATGCGTGCATGTGTGCGCTCACGCATGCATGTACAAGCACTATGCCACTGCTCATGGGTGAGGTGGGAGTCATTATCTCCCACCACGTGGGTTCCAAGGACTGAACTCAGGTTGTCAGGCTTGGATGCAAGTCTTTACTCACTGAACCATCTTGATGCATTAAACTGTTCAATTAAGTATTATTCTCAATAGCAAAGAGGGAAATTGATGAGATAAATACTAAATATAGGAAACTTACACAGTAGAGAATATGAAAACAATACATACAAAATCAAGGTACAAAAATGTCTGATTTTCTTGACATAATACTTTGTTTGGACCTAAAATGATGAGTCAAAAAGAAGCTAAGAATTAAAGGACTAATAATATTTGCATCAAGTTGTTAAAATATCTTTATGGAAATGAAATTCATATTCTAATACAGTTTATGCACTTAATATTAACACAGTGCATGAATTTAACAATCAGTATTAGTATAATTATATGCTTATATAACTTTCACCACTAATTTTTTTTTTGCGGGGGGGGGGGGGGGGGGGGGGGTGGGGGGGGGGGGGTTCAAGACAGGGTTTTTCTGTGTAGTTTTGGTGCCTGTCCTGGATCTCACTCTGTAGACCAGTCTGGCCTGGAACTCACAGAGATTCACCTGGCTCTGCCTCCCGAGTGCTGGGATTAAAGGTGTGCACAACCACCGCCCGGCTATCACCACTAATTTTAAAGCATATCATTTTCCCAAAAGAAATCTGTACTCGGGGGCTGGAGAAATGGCTCAGCAGTTAAAAGTACTGGATTCTCTTCCAGAAGATCCAGATCCAACTCCCAGCACCCACATGGCAGCTCTCCGCTGTTTGTAACTTTAGTTCCAGAGAATCCACTGCCCTTTTCTGGCCTCCATGGGCACCAGACACATAAGTAGTGTACAGACACAGCAGGTAAAATACTCATACACATAAAATAAAACAATATTAAGTGTTTGGAAACAAAATGAACAAACAAACAAAAAACAGAAGAAATCTGTATTCCACTGCTAGTCATGTCCATTCTCTTCCTATATCAAATTCTTGCCTCTACATATCTACCTCATTGGTCTTTACACACAAGTAAACTTGTAAGATATAATTTTTGGTAACTTGCTTGCTGTTTAGTATGATGCTTTCAAGTTCATCCATGTCACAGCATGTATCTGTATTTTGTTTCCTTATACAGCTGAGTAACATTCTATTGTATGAATATACCCATTTTATTCATCTTCTCATCAGTTCATTGAATTTGTTTTTTTGGTTAATAGAAATGATGAATTTCTGCTATCAACATTCATGTATGAGTTTTTATGTGGATATAGGTTTTCATTCCTCTCTGGCATACAGCCAACAAAACCCCTGGTTCATATGGCAACTCTGATTTTTAAAGTTTTTCAAAGTAGTCCAATGGGGCTCTCATTACATAGGCCAGGATGATCTCAAACTCACTATAATGTCCTACGAGGTCTCAAAATCACAACCGTCCTGCCTCAGTCTCCCAAATGCTGAATATTCTACTTTTTTTTAACCTAAATTTTTAAACAGCAAATAAATAAACAAATGGCAAGAACAAAAACTAAAACACTATTATACTCTTTAGGGATATAATACAGACAGTGAAAGTACAAAACATGTATAAGAATGACAAACACTAAACTGGAGGTCGAACAGTCCAAACAGCCGCAGTGCCTCTGTTTACTGACTGTACAACGTGTATGTACCCGGAAGTTTTATTCTCAAAGTCCTGCATGTAATCTGAATAAAGTTAAAATACCCAACTGTTTAAGGACATCTTCAGAATATAATGATTGAGTCACAGCACTTTACTACACTCATTTTTTTTCCTGAGACGACCTCACTATGAAGTCCAGTCTGACTTCAAACTAATCATCTTCCTACAAAAGCCTCCCCAGTGCTGAGATTATAACAGGAACCACCACATCCTGCCTGTATAAAATTTTAGTAGAATTTCACTATGAAGGGAAGCACACAACCTTTTCCTGCTAGCAACTAACATACAAAAAGTCACAATTTAGAACATTTTATGGGCGACAGCGCAGAACAGAGTTGTGGAGTTCTTGTCTAACATGCTTGAGGTCCTCAACTCCATCCTTAGTAGCCAAAACAAGAAAGACTGATTTTACTGGCCTTCTTTAATAAATAATTCAAAAACAGCAATACACACATTCATCCCAGGTGATACAGTAATAAGCAGAAGGACAGCAGGGACTCTACAGTACGTTTTTTACAGCAAGGAATAATTTCTAAAAGACAAAAACTCTGAGCTTAGAGGGCAGCTGTACTTTGCAAGTGGAAACAAAAATGACACTGAATCCAGTTCACCTTAGTTAACCAACCGCTGGAACTTTCTTTAAACGACCCTGTGACATGTGTGGTGATGCAGCCCTGTGACCTCAGCTCTCGGGCAGGAAGTCTGGAGTACTCAGGGGTCCCAGGCCCATGTGAGCTTCCTGTTTCAAAAAGCCACAGCAAGGGCTGCTGACACAGCTCAGCAGTGGAGCACCTGCCCACCATGTGCAAGCCCCCAGGTTTGAGCCCCAGCAGCGCCAAAAAGCATTCTGGAGGCTGAGGCAGGGGGCTCATGGTAAGTCTGAGATACATAGTGAAATCCTATCTCAAAAAGACAGGTAGGACTTCATACATAGGCCACTCTATAGCTGCTTCAGAGAATAAACCTTATTTACTGTCTGTTTCTTCTCCTTCCTCTTCCCTCTCCTCCCTCTATTAAGGCAGGATTTTTTTGTTCACTATTGTTATTTCTAGCACATCCAAGAGTACTTAAGACCTGCAGTAGATATCAATACCATTCCATGAATGAACAAATGGTATGCGGGATGTTCTTCTACATCCTATGATGCTGGTGCAATGGCTACAATGTGTTACACGGCTACAGGGCAGCCATAAAGTCAAAGAGCTTTAAAGGTACCGCCCTACAGGGCCCTAGTGAAAGCTTAGATTACTCTGAGTTTTACTGCTGAGTAAACAGCACTTAATGGAGCTTCAAGAGCAATATCTGGTAGCAACCAAAGACAACAAGCAGATTACTGGGGTATCTGGGGCTCCAGGTCTGTTTGCTTACTCAAGAATGACTAACTTTGTGAACTCATGGAGGAGAAAGTCGAGAAAGCAAGACCTCAGAGGACTTCAAAGGACTTCTCATATATGCAGTGTTATCCTCAGGGTCTGAAGACTAAATCACACATATTACGATGGCTTTGTGTTTATTCTTCCTCCGCCTGTGAGTTTTACTTGTCTAAGTCATGACAGAACCAATCACTGTTCCTTGTTATAATATGCCATACAGTTTGAAGTATTTGAAAATTAAATATTCAGCCATATTCTCTTTTGTGTGTGTATATTATTTCTTTCTTTCTTACATGTATATTTATCATATGTATATCTGAACCTTGTTTAGTATACAGTCTAAATCAGAAAGAGAAAAATATTTTCGCAAAATTTGTTAAGCAGCAAGATTTAAGAATCTGTCCTTTCTCAGGGTCAGGTATGGTGGTGCACACCTTTAATCCTAGCACTTGGGAGGCAGAAGCAGGAGGATATCTGAGTTCAAGACCAGCCTGTTCATAGCCAGGGTTACACAGAGAAACCCTGTCTCAAAAAACAAACACAACAACAAACAAATCTGTCCTTTCTCACTTACCTGAGAAATTAGCATTATCATTACCAACATTGTTGACTATCCCTATACATAAAACACACATCCACTGCTCAATCTATCAGGCCTAATCTTGGGCCATCTAACTAGTTCTGCTAGAACACAACTTTTCATTATTATTTTTTCATTTTTGGCCATGTGCTACAAACAGGTACAGAGCCTATTCTGATACCCCCCAAAAGCCTACCAGTAACACAAAAATATAGAAAAAAAATACAGTTTACTTGATTTGAATCCCATAGAAAATGGAAGTATTCTGATTTGAATATTCCATCAAGCCTAGTTTACTCTATATAAATATAGGACTCACAATTATTCTTTTAAAAATGTATAAAATGTGAAGACTTTATAATGGCCTG